CAGTTTGTTTATTTTAAACTGACAAGGCATCACTTTTATAATACTGATAACTGTTAAATAAAACTCAGGACTTGCCCCTTACCGTCACCAGAGGGAGCCTTGGACCACAGCCATCTGCATGCCCCTCCTTCCAACTTGGAAGAACAGATTTCCCTCAAGATGTCATTTCCCTCCCCCACTCCCCAAAGCAGGAGAGAGGGGACAGAGAGGGCAGGTTCACTGTCCCTTATCTGCCACCCTGGAATCCAAGAAAAATCTGGAAACCAAATCTTTCTTCATTTGGCATAATGCTTAATCTGAACTGAGGTGAAGCTTTTTATAGCTTTTGTCTCATTTGCTGTGGATATGCACAGAGCATACAGCAGAAATACGAATGCATTAGACCACAGAAGGCAGCCCCAGACCTCACGGGGCGTGTTACACAATGTATGGTGCACATGCAATAATACCTCTGTAAAATCTGAAAATTTCTGAATTCAGTATCACATCTGGTTCTGTGAGGGTGGTGGGGGACTGTAGTCTGACACTCATAGTTGCCCTCTAGTGAGTTAACTAATCCCAGTCAGCTTTGACTTGGGTCACTTGGATTGTCATCTTTGTGCCACTTTTTTTTTTTTCCTTTTTTGGCCACATCACTTGGCATGTTGGGTTTTAGTCTCCTGACCAAGGATCTCACCCCCTGCACTGTAGTGCAGGATCACCACTGGATCACCAGAGAAGTCCCTCCTGCCATTTTCTGCCCCTAAGAATCTCTTCTCCTCTCATCCTTACTGGAGCTTGGGAGCCATCTAGGTGTGCCCTGAGGTTCCTGGTCATTGTCTTGAGGGCTTAGAGACCAAAGATCCAGAAACCAGAAAAAGATTCCTCCAGGAGCCAACAGATAGGGCTGTCCTGTTGCTCAAAGGACATCCTTCTCTCCCCCCACCGCCCCGCATAAGGTCCCACAAGACCCTCATCCTATCACAGGCACTGGCAACCCCAGGCCCACAGCCTGATGATGATTTCCAGCCCAGACAGCAGCAACACTGGGTCCCGAGGAAGCTGGAGATACCAGGACAGCAGCCCAGTTCGGCTGCCCTCTGGCCCAGACCACGGCAGGTAATCTGAGGACTTTTCCACTGCCCCATCTGTGACCACCCCCACTGCTTTTTTTTAACCTCCTTTCAGGGAATGGAGAGGCTGTATGAACATCATCCAATTTGGGAGGGATGAGGGCGGGGGAGGGAGAAGGGCCTGATGGGAAAGTCCTGGTCTGTATGGTTCAAGGAGTGACCTTGGAAGATTGGAAAGATGAAGAATCAGAAGAGTCGGATTTCCAACTGTTAAGAGAGTGTCGGTGTGGGTAATGGAGACAGACAGATATGAGATAAACAATGAAAAAGAGATGGGACGAGGAGTGGGGAAGAGAGAGAGAGACAGAAAAACTTGGGAAACAGAGTCCAAGAGACCCTTTAAAAATGGTCCCAAACCTGGCCAAAGAGTATTTTAGCAAACATTTCTGAAATAGACCCAATAAACTACTGCTTTTAATAAAAGACTTGGTTTAGTACTGTTGTCAACCCTAGCTGGTGTGCCTGAGGCACAGTGAAGCCACACACACTCAGAGTGTGGAGCAGAGAAGGGTTTATGGCAAGGCCAAGCAAGGAGGAGGGGTACTCCTGCTCAGAAGACCCAAACTCTCCCACGGCTCGGAGGGAAGCGTTTAAAGGCAACATCTGGGGTGGGGGCGACAGGGTGCATGATTTTCTGATTGTGTGGCGGTGAGGGAACAGGTGATGTTTCGGGAACCCCAATGAGCAGCCTTCCAGTTCCAACCAGTGTGGGGTCTAGTCCTGTGCTCACCAGATGATCACCAGTCAAGAGCAGCGGCCTGACCTCTGCGGCAACCAGAAACATCCCTCCGCCGCCCCAGAAATCTGCTTTGGACAAATCGCCCCAGTTATTTCCAGAGAGTGGAGGAGGGATGAGGGTACCAGCAAGGTAAATGAGCCCTGCAGGGACCGAATAACACAAGCTCCAGCTATTAAGAGGCTAGAATGAGGAGGGCAGGCACCTTGACGTGTCCTTTAGCAACATGATGCTGGAATCCAGGTGAGCCTGTTTCCAGCCTCACAGGCGGCTCAGCGATGGCAGATCCCGAACTTACTGAATAAACAGGCAGGTCACCTTCCTCAGCAGGGGCCCAAGGTGTGGCCTCAGTGATCTGCAGCTGAAGCTGCCACGCAATGGCCTGATCCAGGTGAGCCAACTGGGTTCCCGGTTCCACTGGAAATTAAGCAATAGTGCTCCTGTCTGAACCAGTGAAAGCATTGTTTTTGCAAGTCACCTTCAGTCACAAACCGAGAGGCTTCCCTTTACTTGTTATCTGTGACCTTGGGCAACGCACTTTGCCCTTCCAAGCCTTGGTTTCCTCAGCTGTAAAATGGGCACAGTGGCCCCTGGTCTCTTATAGGGCTAAGTGAGGGTCTGACAAGGTGGTGCATCAAAACACAGAGCAGCAGCTGGCACGTTCTCCTGATTCAGCCGTGTGATTTACAAGATTCAGCCCAGCCTGACACGCATTACAATCTCCTAGTAACTTCCAGGGGCTTCCTTTGGACAAAGCAACAAGTAAGCTTCCCTGAGAAGAAGGAGGAACTCAGGGGCTCAAATAGAAGATAAGACTTACACTGGCAGGCAGCCCATCCAGTGTCTTGCACCAGTCACTCCTGGTGTCATTCTGCCCAGAACAAGGAGTCCAGACTAATGGCGGATTGAGTTCTAAACATTGCTGGTCCCTCAGCCTCTTCTACGTCTGCCTGGAGGCTCCATCCTCAGCAGTCCTAACAATCTGGCTCCAGGCAGTGAGGCAAGAGCCCACATGTGATTCCTGGGGCTTTCCACTGTTATTTCAGAAGCTTCCAGAAATCTTTCAGGCAGGGCTGTGATAAATGACCCCTTCCTTCTTTCTAAGACTGTCATTAAAGATGCTCCACAGAACCCATCAATAAAGACACTCCACAGGAACCTGCAGGCTCTTCCTAATCACAAAGGCAGGAAGTGGGGCTCAAGAGGGAGACATGCTTTTCTGCTTTTGAGTTTTCCGAGCATAATAGGACCACAATTACAGGGTCAAGAGAGAACCTTGAAAACCCACTTCGCAGGTCTATCAAAAACAGCTCTCATGGGACTTCACTGGTGGTCAAGTGGTTAAGAACCTGCCTGCCACTGCAGGGGACATGGGTTCAATCCCTGGCCCAGGAAGATTCCTCATGCTGTGGGGCACCGAAACTGATGTGCCACAACTACTGAGCCTGTGCTTTAGAGCCCGTGCTCTGCAACAAGAGAAGCCACTGCAAGCCCACACACCGTAACCAGAGAAAGCCCCCCACTCAACACAACTAGAGAAAGTCCGCTCACAGCAACGAAGACCCAGCACAGCCAAAAATAAATCAATAAACAAGCAAACAAAAGAACTCTCCAGGGACTTCCCTGGCGGTCCAGTAGTCAGGACTCCATGCTTCTACTGCAGGGGGAATGGGTTCCAGTTGTGCTTTCCTGTGACAGAGGAGGTGGCGGGAGCCATGTCCTGAAGATCTTGCCCACTCTCCTTCCAAGGGTGATGGCCAGCACGTGCCCCTTTCTGGATGGCCCCACTGAGGGGGCAGTGCAGTGGCTTCTGGATGTGATGCTTAGTTCAACCCAGGAGGTAACTATTCCTGCATCTAACAGGGCTAATAATCTGGGATCCTTATCCCAGGAGGAAACCATCTGTCCTCACCCAGGGCTAATAATCTGGGATCCCGATCCCAGGTCTGGGTCTTCACCTGTCCCCAGTCATATCTGTCATGATTGTCGTGATTGACTCCTCTGGGAACCTCATTAAGCTCAGAGTTCTTGGTGAATAGGAGAGACTAGAACAACATGACAAATATACACTTTCTTTTCTGCTTCATTGATTTCTGCTCTCATTGTACTGTTTCCTTCTATTTTCTCCCCTCTAGGTTTGATTTGCATTTTTTCTAGCTTCTTAAGATAGAAGCTTAAATTATTTAATTTTTAGCCTTTCTTCTTTTCTAGTATTTGTATTTCAGCCTATAAATTTCCTTGTGAGCACTGCTTTAGCTGCACAAAGTTTGATGTCACATTGTCACATCTCTTATTTTTAAGATCTATATTCTGCTCTTCCTTGATATATTAAAATAATCAGACCAAGCCCTGAATTTCAACTTATACCACAATGTTCACCACAGAGTTCTCACTTTATTTCCAGAACTACTGGGCTTCAGACTCTGCAAAAAGATTTGAAAGAGTGACTGTTCTGAGGAGTTTAGGTTTCCAAATGCCACAGAAGAGTCAAAAGAACAGTTTGATGACCCTTACCTTTTGTTTCGGATGTACAATTTCAACTGAATAAAAATTGCAAACATGGGACTTCCCTGGTGGTCAAGTGGCTAAGACTCCACACTCCAAGTGTAGGGGGCCTATGTTGGCTCCCGGGTCAGGGAACTAGATGCCATATGCTGCAACTAAGAGTTTGTAAACCACAACTAAGAGTTTGCATGCTACAACTAAAGATTTGACATGTCACAACTAAGACCTGGCATAGCCAAATACATAAATATTAAAACAAAAAAACTGTAAACATGATTTCTGGGAATGAAACTAGTAACTCATGCAAGTAAGGTCTTCCAATGCCTGCAGAACAGCCTTACTATAAAAAACACATTTGGGGGATTCCCCTAGTGGTCCAGTGGCTAAGCCTCCTGGATTCCAATGCAGGGGGCCTGTGTTCTATCCCTGGTCAGGGAACTAGCCCCATATGCTGCAACTAGGAGTTCACATGCCACAACCAAAAAGATTCTGCGTGCTGAAACTAAGACCTGAAGCAGCTAAACAAAAAGTAAAAATACTTTGAAAATAATAAATAAATTTAAGAAAGCAAACAAGAAACACATTTTCAAGTTTACAGAAAACCTGCCAACACTACATTTCATTAAGAACTTAGAAATAGAAACCACTTTTATGTTGCTGATCTAGACTTATTACATTTATTTCATGTCATTGTGGTCACTTTTACAGCAGTTGAGATTTATTTTCAATTACACTATTGTTCACAGAATTCACAGAATTCATTAACAAACATCCAAAGGTTTTTCAGTAGCACAGCAAGATAGAAAAGAGGTGCTTTGGAGTGGAACCCGAGTCTGACTATTTAGATAGATGTCTAGAATATTATTGCTTTATTAGTCTTGTGTTGTTTTTTTAATAATAAATTATTCCTAGGGACCCCCCCGGCCAGGGAATCTCTGTACTGCACTACCCAGGCTCACGTGAGACATAACCGGACCCAGGGTGCCGGGCAAATCAGCCAGCTGTGTTCTCTGCTGCTCTGCAAGCTGGCTGAGGCAGGCCGTGTCTTCTGCGTGTGTACTTCCTCCAGCCTGCGGTGTTCCTCCACGGTCCTGCAGTTGATGGGCGGCAGTCACACATGGGACATAAAACTTAAATCAGACATAAACAAGGGGCTCTGCGAAGAGGGGGCTAATGCTCCTAAAAGAGCCACTGACTATGCACAGGAGAATGTCTGAACAACAGAAACACCTGGAATCTCAGTCTGTGAGGAACATCTTAAAGGAAATGTCCTCAGTGGTCCAATGTGGGCACTCTGCAACATAAATGTGAAGACTTCTGGGTAGATTTCATGGATAGGTTTTCTTTTATTGTTCCATGTGAATTTTCATTTTGTGAAAAAACATCTTGGAGATTTCTTCACGGCCCCTGAGGCTCTGTGGATCTAGAGAGACCAGGGCTGGAGCCGGGGCCGGCTTCCTCAGGGACAGGGGCGCTCCCTCCGCATTTGGGGCAGGGTCCCTGAGAAGTGGTGGCTGTGACAGGTTCTGGAGACGGGAGTGGAGGCTGGGTGTGGAGCTCAGGCTGCGGCCGGGGCCTCAGTCCAGCTTCTTGCTATTGTCTGTGTTGTGTACAGAAGCTAAGAAGTCGACAAGGAGCTTGGCTGTCTTCCTGGGCCTCTCCATCACCACCGAGTGGCCACAGTTTTCCAGGAGCTCCACCTGGGAGTTGGCGATTGACTTGGCCAACACGTCTGCCCCGGACACATCGAGCACCTGTGGGACGAGAGAGGAAACTGGATGGAAAGGGTTCAGGTGCCCGAACGCACTCCGTGGACAGAACTCCTGTCCAGGCCTGGCAGGGGTGATTTTTAGAACCAAGTCACTTTGGTGTCGGGGCTTGTGGCTCTCTGATGGAAGTGACCACGTGCCTCACGTCTGACTCTGCAGCTCGGTTCTAGGAGGTATGCTGCTGCAGTGTTGCCGCGCTGGAAACACAGGCCCTGCCCTGAGGATGCCCTGGTATGGCGGGGAAGCCAGACTGGAAAGCAGACAAGTGCAGCGCAAGGTGGCGAAGACTCTGATGGGGGAGAATCCGGGGAGCTGAGAAGCCACAGGGGAGGGGGATCATGGAAGAGGGACCAGCACAAGGGTGGGAGGACACGGCACGTGCAAGGGACAGCAAGGAGCCCAGTGCTGCGTGAGCGGGGAGGGCGGGCCTGTGCATCTGGCCGTGCCGGGAGTCATGCTCAGTCTGAGGGCAGTGGGGAGCTCCGGGGCTGTATTAAGGACGGTGACGTGATCGGGCTGGGCCCGGAGAATGCACCCTGCAGCTGGTCTAGGGGAGGCCGAGCTGTGGGGAGGCCACAGGAGAGATGCAAGACGGGGAGACGAATTATCACAAACCAGAGGACTGGGTCCTGAAGGCCCTCAGCGGGTCCCCGAGCTGTGTGACCCCAGGCCCTGAAGTGTGTGAAGAACAGCCAGTGCTTTTCCAACATGAAGCCCACCACTTTCCCAGGGTTTCAAACTCCCTTTCCTTTTCACCTGGGTTACACCTTGCTTTTACCCCAACTCAGTTACTGGCTTTCTCCTCCTTCAGGGTCAGATTTATACTCGCCCCCTTCGCTTCACTGCTTTCACCTTCACGTCACCTCCCCGCCCCCAGACAAAGGCGGCCCCTCCACTCTGGTCTTAACACCGACAGCAAAATCCCAACAAATTTGAGCACTGTCTGCTTCTGAGCTTCATTCTTCTCACCCCAGACTGGTGATACCAAGATTTGCCGCCCACCAGGAAGTGGGGTGAGCGGAGTGCAGAGCACCCCGGGCTGAGAAAACGCAAGATGGAACAGCTGATGGGGAGCGTGGCGCGATCCCGCCTCTCCTGCTGGGCCCTGAGAGCGCACATCACCTTGGGCATCTGAGACGAAGAAAGGCCTTCATTGTTCCGACTCTCATCTCTGCCTGCTGGCCCAGCCTGGGTCCCGCTTCTCCGCCCAGGCATCCACAAAGCTGTTCTCAGCCCCTCGGCTGCTGTGAAGGGAGCACGTGCATTCTCCCTCCTCCTGATGCCCTGGTTCCCGCGCTGGGCATACCAGCTGATGCTGAGATGGCTGCACGCTGGCGCCACCGCCCTGCCTGCCCCTGCGCCGGGGCACAGACCTGGCTTCTCCCCAGTCTCCTCTCCTGGGCCTCCCACGGTCGTGGGCAGTTGAGGTGCAGCCTGACTTCCTGTCTGTGCTCACATCACACACGTGGTGGGCATGTGCAGTCTGCTCGGGGCTCACAACGGTGGCTTTCACCTCAGCGTCCACAGGGGAGCTCTCTCAACACGGAGAGCTTTGCTCCCATTTCCCTTCTCACGACGGTCAACAGCGTGAGACAACCAGATACCCTTTGATAGACACTGTAATTCTGTCTGCCTGTGGGCCTTATAAAGGCTCCATTTCCCACCAGCACCTCTTATTTTCAACTTTTCAAGAACATTCAGTAAGATATGATTTCTAAAGAACGGTTGCAAACAGAAAGGGAGTTTCCGAAGTATAAGTCAGTATTTCATTGGCAGGTTTATTATGGATGGACTGTGCCCCCTCCCCAAATTCATATGCTGAAGTTCTAACAAAATGTGGCTTTACTGGGAAACAGGGTCATCGTGGATGTAATTAGTTAGGATGATGTCATACTGGAGCAGGGTGAACTCCTAATCTAGTATGTGGACCCCTAATCTATCATAACTGGCGTCTTAGAAAAATGAGAAGTTTAAACACAACATCATGTGAAGATGAAGGCAGAGGTCAGGGTGAGGCGTCTATAAGGCACGGAACACCAAAGTCCCCCAGCAAACTCCCAGGAACTCAGGGAAAGGCCGGGAACAGGCTCTGCTTCCCAGCTCCCACCAGTCACAGCAGGAACCAGTCTGCTGCGGCCTGGGTCTTGGACTCATAGTCTCCAGAACTGGTGTTACAGTGTTAGTCGCTCAGTCATGTCCAACTCTTTGCAACCCCACAGACTGTAGCCCACCAGGCTCCTCTGTCCATGGAGTTCTCCAGGCAAGAATACTGGAGTGGGTTGCCATTTCCTTCTCCAGGGGATCTACCCGACCCGGGGGTTGAACCCAGCTCTCCTGCATTGCAGGCAGATTCTATACCATCTGAGCCACCAGGAAAGCCCCTAGTGTATCTGTATGCCAGAACTGGCAGCCAATTTAATTCTGTTGTTTAAGCCTCCCAATTTGTAGTACTTTGTTATAGGAGGCCTAGCAAACTAACAGAGCCATCTGACAAAGCCTGTCAAAAACTTGTCATAATTTTAAAATGCACAAAGCCTTTGATCAAGCTATTCCACATCCAAGAATTGACCCTTCAGACAGGCTCTCACACTGCAAACACACATGTACAATGACGCACATCACGGTGTGGTTTAACAGCAAAAAACTGAAAAAGACCTAAAGTGACCATTAGTAGGGCACTAACGCAGCAGATAATGGAGTACTATGCAGCTCCCAAAAAGAACATAAAATTTTGTTTTGGGCAACAACCATTCACGGATGGTAAATCTAGAGGGAAATGTTTGATGAGGACCAGGATATCCACATGGTCTCAAAGTACCTCCCCACAGACTGCTTATTAGTTGCAAGGGGAGAAATAATATCTATGATGAAGAAATCAGATATCACAATCAATCAAAATTCCCATCACTGGGATGTCCCAGGCTGGCCAGAGGTTAACAGGCTTCCACTGTCTAGGGCACAGTTTCAATCCCTGGTTGAGGAACTAAGATCCCACATGCTACACAGTGCAGCCCCCAAAATAAATAATAGTTTAAAAAATTCCCACCACTGAAGGAAAGATATTCTCCTTCTGAGGATGTGAAGTCTTATTACCCATGAGATATTCTGGCCAGGGATATGTATCCCGAATTTAATCATGAAGAAACAGCCAACAAACTCAAACTGAGGAACATTTTGTAAAATAACTGGCTCGCACTCTTCAAATATCTCAGTGTTACAAAAGATCAAGGCAGAAAGAGGGCATCATTTTATATAAAAGGAAACTAAAAAGACACGATACGCAGTATGTGATCCTGGTTACAGGGGCAGGCGGAGGATCATTCTATGTAGGACATCACTGAAACAAGGAATAAATTTGAAATATGGACTGTATATTAGTTAAAAGCTATGGTATCAATGTTACATGTCCCAAATGTGACAATGTACTGTGATCATGTGAGATAATCTGGTTTGCAGTAAACACACCTTGAAGCACTGGGGGTAAAGGGACATGATATAAGCAGCTTACTCCAAATGGCCCCAAAACACATATTTCTAGATCTGTCTAGATGAGGTGGTAAATGTTAAAAGGTTGGTAATAAGTAAGATGTGGTACATACATATCATGGAATGACACTCAGCAATAGCAAGGAACAAATTGTTGGCATAGGTGACGATATGGATGAACCTGAGAAACATCACGCTGGAGTGGAAGAAGCCAGATGCAAAAGACTACCACTGTAAAATATCATTTTATGAAAATTTTAGATAACTAAATTCTAGACAAGACTTCAGAAACAGAAAGCAGGTCAGTGGTTGAACAGTGCTGGGGCAGGAATGGAGACTAACTGCAAATGGGCAAGAGAGAACTTACAGGAGTGACAGAGGCGTTCTACAACTGGGCTGCAGTGGGGTGTGCAACAAGGTAAATTTTATAGCACATGAATTTTTGAAAAAGCAGTTAAAACTGATGAAACTAGGTAAAGTAGATACAGGAGTACTCTGTATTTTTTTTTACAATTATCCTGTAAATTTGCGATTCTTTCAAAATAAAATATTTATAAGTACTAGAATGTGTGGATCTCTTCAAGCTGATATTAAATGATTTCCAAGGTACATATTTCTCATATATATGAAGCAATTAAGGTGCGAAACTGTATATACTGCATGTTTGAAAATCTTATACATAACACTTCTTTATGCACACTGATATATGTTTAGAATAGAAACAGGCAAACAACAGCCCCTGCCTGCTTTGTGACTGAAGGCTCCCTGGAGCTCTGCCTACCATTTGTTCTGCGTGTCACCATCACAACAGAAGAGTTGAATAGATGTAACAAGAACTTATCACCCGCAAAGTTGCAAATATTTACTATCTGGCCTTTAATAGGAAGTGTGTGCCAACTGTTGCCTTAGAAAATTTAAAAGAAACACACATAAACTGTAAGTGCTGCCTTGAAGAAATGGGAACTGGGACCTAGGATGTCAAAGAGACCAAGTGTACTCTTATCCATCTTTCTGTACTCTTTCAAGGTTTCTGTGCCACGTGACTATATGGCTTTGAGAACGATAATTTACGAAAATGCTTTCAAACTGCCTTACATTTTAGAAGGCCACCGTCACTGCCCTCAGCTCCCTGGGAACAGCAGCACTTGGCACTGGTGCGTGCCACCTCCCTCTGGATCAGGAAGCAGCCAGGCTCCCCTCATAACGGACCGCGAGCTTGTCCTTGGAGGCAGGTGCAATGGGCGCAGGCAGCCCCAGGGACACGCCACGTACCTGGTCTTGTTTCCCCCAGATGATCTGCGTAGGGACCTTAATCTTGTCCATGTTCTGATGGAGGGAGTATCTCGACTTCTCACTGACGATTTCCAAAAACACTTTGTAGGGAAGGAAAATAAAGTGAGTGTGTGCTGTGCTGTGGACACCCCCAAGTATAGGAAATATATAGTGTATATGTATATATAGGATATATACAGGGTATATAGTGTTTAAGTCTAAGGCACTGCATCTTTCTTGAGGGGTCCCAGAAAACTGTCAAAGTCTCAGAAATGTAAGGAATAAGAGCCGGCCACCCAGAAGATGTGTCACAGGCTCAGAGGTCAACACAGGTCTACTTACGCTTTCGGTAGAAGGTGTTGTGAGGGATGCGGACGTCGACAAGGCCCTGCAGGATCTAGGGATAAATAAGCCAAAGTCAGAAAGCGAGGGAAAATTGGTATCCTCAGGCCTCAGAAGGGTCTGGGACAAAGAGGGGAAATCAAAGGCCAGCAGTTTCGGGCGTTGTCAAGGTTTGTAAGGCCTGGTCTCCAAATTCCCGTGATGGCCATGCAATGTAATGGGGACTTAGGTTCATAAGAGGCTTTTTTCTTTCTCCTAAGGAAGGAACTCTGAGAATAACTATGAAGCCAAAGGACCCCAGTGGCATGTAAGCTGCTTCACCTATGAGGAATTCTCTGCTTATCCTGAGACATAATCAGAATGAAAATAATTTCAAGTAATTACTCAGGAATACCCAATATAAAACAAGGTCTATTAAAAAAAATTAAAAAAAATTAACTATTGGGGGTGATGGGCCTCTTAAGCAATGAAGAAATCAACCACTAGGGAAGTTCTGGGAAGGCTTTCGATGTCCTGAGCTCACTGTATGACACTGGCCAGGCCCTCCCTGCTGCGGGCTGTGGGGCTGCAGCACATGCTGACAGGCCAGGGCTCCTGGACCTGGGAGACCGACCCGGAGAGGTGCTGGGGCCAGAAGGAACATGGCCCGCCTCTTCCCCCACCTCAGGGTTCTTGAGGTAGGGTCCAGGGGTCACACCAGCAGCCGTCAGTCCTCTCATTTCCCTAGGAATGGACTGAACCCCTTCAACACACTCTCAGGAGTCCTGTGTACTGACTGAAGCGGGAAGACCCAGTCATAACTGCTCTGGACGAAACCCACCCGCTGGAGCATCTGACTATTCTGGAAGTGGAAGCCCAGAGGTGAGACCAATGGCAAACTGTCCAACACAGGGTGCTCAGCATCAGATATTTCCTTTGTTCTACTATCTGTCCTATACCCATGCATCTCTCCATCTTGCATTCAGCCATCCACCCTCCACCTCTGCTCCACACTCCTGCCTATCCATCCATCCTGCATCTCTGACTCAGACATGCACATGTTCATCCATGTGTCCACTTGGCCTGTAGCTACCCATCCACCCTCCATCCCTGGTTCATGTAGACATCCACCTATCCATCACCCACCCACCCTGCACCTCTGAAACACATATGCATACATCTACCCATGTATCCATTTGTCCTGCATCCACCAATCCATCACCCTCCATCTCTGCCATTTCCAGACACTCTCCCATCCATTCACGCATTCGGCCATCCATCTCTCTGCACCCCTAAATCAGTGATGTATGCACATGCATCCGTTCATGTACCCCTCTACCCTGCGTCTACCCACATATCCATTCTCCATCCCTGCGTTGTTCAGGTTTCCTCCCGTCCACTGATCCATCCACTCTACACCTAGGACCTATCTCATGCAAGCACTTTGCCATAGGCTGGGAACAGAACCACCAAAGACACAGTCCTTGCTCTTACAGAGGTAGGAATGGAAGACGCAAACCAGCCAACACAGTCATTTCACAATGTGACACAGCAGGCTGAGTGCCTAGGGGCTCCTCCCGGCCTCCAAGGGAAAGACTTTGGGATCTGCATTTCTTTTCTCCCAGTGTCTTCATTTCTCTGACAATTCAAAACCAATTCAATACTTGGTTACTCTATTCTGGAAAGAGACCAGTGCTAAGAGAGGATCAGTGTAAAGTCATGACTGAAAAGACAACTTCATGGACAGAACATACCACAGAATCTGATTCTGTGATGCTTCCTCAGAGATGGGCCGCATCTCTTAATGAGTCATGTTTACGACCTCTGCACAGAGCCCATTCTCTCAACTCCCAGGAGGACCCACCCCACCCCAAGGTCCAGCTCCTGAAACAGAGTGAGATAATGAGCTGTTATGAGGTCTCATTCATGGACTCTCGGTTCCCCACACTGTCTCCTGCACAACCTCATTTAGACCCATGACTTTTAATATCATCCTTGGCTGATGGCTGTAATCACACAGCCCAGGCCAGACTTCCGTCAGCTCCACTCGTATTTCTGTCTGGAACTTGAACTTAACACATCCACAACGGAGCTCTCAGCTGATGCTCCAAACCCACCCTCCCTCCCCCTCCCCTACTCAGAAAACACTACCCTGGGACTTCCCTAGCAGTCCAGTGGTTAAGACTCCATGTCTCCACTGCATGGAGCACAAGTTCGATCCCTAGTTGGGGAACGAGAATCCCGCATGCCACGTGATATGGCCGGAAAATAGTAAAAACTTTTAAAAAGAGGAAGAAAACACTACCTTTATCCAACTAAAGTATCAGAAGTCACCTGTGACTCACATTCTCTCATCCTCCACTTCGCACTGGCCAGTAAGTCCTATCTCCTTCCTTCCAAAGCTTCTCGGATCTCATTCTCCACCACTCCCCAGTCTACAACACCCTCATCTTGGAATAGTACAGCACACTAACGGGTTTCTCTGCTTCTGTCTGTGTTCCCCTACAACTCTTGAGCGTTTCTCCTACTGTACTTAGAAAAATTCCAGTCTCCTTCCCATAATCTCTTAAAAGTTCTACATGACCCAGCCTAGTGGTTCTCAAAGCAGTTCTCGGGATTATAAGACATCAAACTATTTTCATAATAACACTAAATGTCGCTTGCCTTTTTCACTTTCATTCTCTCAAAAGCACGCTGATTTTCAGAGTCTACATAATGATGGATAGTGTCATCATTCTGATCGCTAATGAAATGAGTACTTGTGTATTCTTGTGTTTTAAGTTCTCCTGAGGTTTAATTTCTAATACGGTACACATCAATAGTTACAACTTTCATAAAAAGAAGCTCTTTGGGCTTCTCAATAATTCTTAAGGCTGTTAAAAGTGCTCTGAGACTTTGTTTTCTTAAACGACAATCTTTGATTCAGCCCTTGCATCCCATTCCAACCTCACCTCAACCCATTCTTTCCCTCACACTCTGGGCTCCAGTCACCTTGGCCTCTCCTTCCAGCATCTTGAACCTGACTGTTTTCTCCATCCCTGCTCAGGCTGTTTTCTTACAGCCTTATCTTTTCAGGCTTATCAAAGTTTCTTCTGCCGCTCTGTTTTCAAGCACATCACTATCTTCACTTCCTCTAGAAAACTTACTACAATATGAAATTATCTGTCTTGTTAATTGACTGCTTCTCCCCCTGGCCTTCTCTGTCTTATTTCTTCCCCAGGGTGCCCAAGCATAGTGTTGGACACATCACAGGCACGGCACTTGCTGAACGAATGAACGCTGAGGACAAGGAGGGAACGAGAGGCGGAAGCTGGCCCTGGCCACCTGAGCGCTGGGCAGAGGCGGGCACACTGCTGCGGAGGCCACACTACCTGCTGGGGCACCTTGAAGCGCACGTAGGAGCATAGCTGCAGCATCTCACTCATCTCCTCCGGGGTGGTCGGGATCAAGGGGATCTTCTCTACGGCGGCCGACTCCTGCAGTTCCTTGAGCCGTTGCACAAATTTATTATCAGTTGAGTACTGCAGACCTGGGGGATCCAAACCAAAAAAGCTTGGAATATATCTACCTTCTTACCAAACCCCATTTTACATAGAGAGCTTCCAAAATCAGCCCAGACCTAATGTATCTTAGGTGTTTTCCGTTGGTAGATTTCTTTCTAATTGGTACTAGCATCCGTGGTCAAAGTCAAAGCCACAATTTGAGAAACATAGGGGAAAATTTTTTTTCTTCAGAACATCTTAAGGGCTGGCTACGCAAATTGGGAGCCCATAAAAAACACAACACTTCAGCCCCTCCCCTAAGTCTCTGACACCAGAATCTGCACTTAAGTTGCCAGGGGATTCATCTGTAGCACAGAAATTAAGAAGAGTTTGAGAGTCTAGAAGACAACTTGCCTGAGCCCCTCTCACATCTGTAGGGTTGAGAGGAGACCTGGTGAAATGCATGACCAGAGAGGACTGAGTACTCCTTCCTTCATCCTGGACCCACTTAACAATCTCTTATTTGGGGTCAGCACATAAAATGCAGTGAGAGTGAATCCCCTTTGGAGCTCCCACACATTGGGGCAGAAGGGCAGGACTGCCCTCTACACAGTCCTTCTTCCTCCAGGGAACCATTAGGCAGTCCTGAGCCGAAAGAGCCTTGAGACTGACCATTATTTTCTATCACCTGAAGCATGACACAAGAGTTCACACGAGCTGGTGTATGAAGGAGCATAAAACTAATTTCATTTCCAACACTGAGCAAGTTTCTAGGTGTTTAACTTAGCTGAAGAGCTAGAGCTTAGAAAGAGAGGCAGTGGAACCCGTACTGTGCTACAGAAATCCATATTTCATAAATCTCCTATATTCAGCAACTCCTCTGAATCTAACATGCGTATCATGCAGCTCTCATGATGCATGGTCAGATTACATGATCTATTTCTTTTGGCTTTAAAAATTAATCCTAAATTACATGTCATGTGGTATATCCTGAATTGGATCCTGGAACAGAAAAGGACAATTGTAGAAAAACTAATGAAATCTAAATAAAGCCTGAATTTTGGTTAACAGTAATACACCAATGTTGGTTTCCTGGTTGTGACAAATTTGCTGTGTTATGTGAGCTGTTAAAGGTGAGAACTGGGTGAAGGGTACTATCTTTGCAACATTTCTATAAATTTAAAATTATTTCAAAGTAAAAAAAAAAGTGTATCTTTTCATTTTTGCATACAAACAAATTCAATTCTAACTTTCTAATGGAAACTCAGGTATAAAACTCTTCTCTGGGCAAATGAATATACACTCAGAAGTCAGTTAGTCAGTTAAGATCTGACCTTTCATAAGTGATTTAAAATCTAATAACATTCCAGAGGGGCTCCAATTCTTCATTTTTTCTTGGCCGAGTTGTGCAACATATTGGATCTTAGTTTCCCAACCAGGATTGAACCTGCGCCCTCTGCTTTGGGAGCACAGAGTCTTAACCACTGGACCACCTGATAAGTTCCCCTCCAATTCTCAGATTTTATTATTATAAGATCAAATAACTTCAGACACAGTGCTTGAGAAAAGGAGAAGAAAAAACCCTTTGGGAACTTGCCTTCAATTTCAACGATCTTAACAGATCTGAAAACTTAACTTTCCAAATGAGTTGAAAGGCTTCAAAGATAAATTTAGTTATGTTTCAGTAGAAGGTGCACAAGTTCAATTCATGGTAGGGTTCTAGTGGGTAAAGAAGGTAATGGATATGAGTCATATAAAAGAGGCCGTGAATATGAAAGGATTTCTCCAAAAACCACAGCTTGAGTTCTGGAGTCAGACAGCATAGGGCCAGTTCCTATCCAGGCTCCAACACTAATATAATGTGCACCTATAAAATGGGCATACTATCCTTATCTGGATAATAATTACATATATAAAAAGTCACTGAGATATACACTGAAAATCTGGACAATTTACTATGTGTAAACCATATCCCAGTAAATTACCAGGGATGAAGAGGGGAGGCAAGAGAAGGAAAAAGAGAGAAAAAATTTTCTTACTAACATACTATAAATTCGAGTATGAAGATTTATATACATATACACATATATGTATATAAATTTTAAATCCAACTTTAGTGTTCATCTCAGTGGCATATATGCTAAAACTGGAACAATACAGATTCAGATCAGCACAGCTCCTGTGCAAGGATGACATGCAAATTCATGAAGTGCTCCATATTTTAAAAAAATTTTTAAATCCAACTTCAGATCATAATTTCTGAGGACATGTTATAGCTCAAGTAGACATGGATACATTTAAGAACAGAGACACCAAATTTTGCTGATTTAAAAAAAAAAAATCTTGCAATGAGAAAAGATCTTTGAGTTTTCAGCCAAAAAAGAAAGATGCATAATAACAGTACTTTCACCTCATAAGGTTATGGCAAGGATTAAATTCATATAGAGTTTGGCTCATAAAAATTTAATAAATGTTAGATGCTAATATTATCATTATACTTCAAAGTATTTGTATGCAGTAAAGTTTTATACACTTTTTAATTAACCACCTCCGATTCTTTGTGGGACAAGGCTGGCTCTATATTTTAAAGCTCAATATAGTTACAATTATGGTTATGCAACTATTGCTTGATTGTACCACTAAGGCAAACTTTTTTAGTATCTCTACAATATGGTCAAAAAGATGATTCTAAAAAGACAGTCACAGCAGAAACCGCCATTGCCTTCTTCAGAGATTCAGGTCCCGCTGTGTCCACGTCACTCACAGAGTGATCTGAGTCTTACAACTCACCAGCAGGGCACACGAGGGACAGGCTGCAGACGTCTGACGGGTAGTGAGCAGCATACACCCCAGCCACATGGCCGCCCATGGAGGTGCCCACCAGGTGGAAAGGCTTTTTGTTCAGCTTGAGGCATTCTACAAACTAGGAAGGGAAATGAGAAAGGGCCTTGGTTATACAACTGTGGACAATGACAATGGGGATTCCAGAGTTGAAAACTTTTGTACTTCCTATGGGGACAAGCAGAAAAGGGCTATTAATGAAATGGGATCTGAAACCTACTTGATTATCCAGATGAGTCCTGTTACATACATGTACTCTTCTTTACCTGACACAGGTTATCGAGGGGTCATTTTTAAGTGTAAAATCAACAGAGATCCCTCAAATTCATGAGCCAGCAAATTTTTAAAATAAAGGTCCAAGAGTAAATATTTTCCGCTCTGAAGGCCTATTATCTGCTGCAACTATTCAACTCTCCTGCTGTAGCATAAAAGCAGCTAAAGACAACATGTAAACAGGTGAACGTGGCTGTCTTCTAAAGACAACATGTAACTTGGTGACTGTGGCTGTCTTCCAATAAACTTAGCTTACGAAATTTAGTGGCAGATCAAATGAAGCCCACAAGCTATAGTTTGTGGACTGGCTATAATTTACAGCACTTCCCATCCATCTAAACATCCATTAGTATAACTATCTACCCATCTGTCTACCCAACCATCCAACCATCCATTCACACAGCTATCCATCCATCCATCTATTCAACCATCCAAACATCCATTCATATAACTATCTATCCATTCATCTATTCAACCATTTGACCAACTATTCCCTACGTCTACCCATTCATCTAAAAATATTTATTGGATACCTATTACGTACAAGCAACCATGGTCAGTTGCTCAGGATACAGCAAATGGTCAAAGAAACAAGGTTCCTTGCTTCCAAATAATACACAGTTTAAAGAGAGGAGAGGGGGTAGACATTAAATAAACATCCTTGAATGGAGAAAATACTTAATGTCAGCTTGGAGAGTATGAACCATTACATTTTGAAATGGTTCATGAGCCCCATGACTTTGAAAGCTCAGTCAGAGAGGGCTGAAGAAAGATACTAAATCAGAACAAAATGAAAAGGTCACCCTCCCCATCCTCCACAACTAGGCAGACATGCTGTCACCATCATCAAGCAGCTGGTAACCAGAAAAATATACTCTAAAAAATAAACGGTCTTGAGGAATTCTAAACTCCCTTTGAAGAGTTGAGAAAATGAGGCTGTATTTCTCCAGAAACAATTATAATAGGTTTAGAGAAGTCGGCAATAAGCCCTGGCCCTCTACAGCTGACCAAGGATACCACTGGGCTGCTCCCATATTGTTTGCAATTATGAGTCACAGCGGAGCCCGCACTGACTGTTCTTCAGACCTGGGGATGCAATGATGGGCAAGCCCCGCCTGGGCAGCTTTTTGGTGGTGCCTCCCTGCTTACCTGGTGTATCCTCTTGACTTGCCCATCTATGGACAGGTCATCCAGTGAGGAGCGGGTGGTGCCCTCATGTCCTGGCATGTCCACGCAGACCAGGTGCAGGTTCTTCGGGAGGAACTGAGGACACAGGTCCAGGGAGTCAGAATGTGGTGTGCAGAGCATGTCTGCCCATGTACCTGGGGAGGCTCCCCCATTTACCAAGGGACCTGGACGGCCTCCCCACTGGGGAGGTAGGAATCTAAACCACCCCCTGTCTTCCCCTAGTAACATCTGACATGAATAAACACTGCCAGGAGCCTTACAGAGAGCAGAAGCCCCCAAAGTCTAATACACAATGGGAGAGGACTGGGGATGGCTGGAAAGGGGAGAACAGAGGTCAGGGGAGCAGGCCTGCATCCTTTGCTCTTTCTTGACACCAGTTGGCAGGTACTACCCCCTTCTCCCTTCCCTCATCCCTTCTATGTTTATCCCAGTCTCGCAGCCACCAACTTGGAACTATTAATACACTGGGCGATTCTGTTCTCCCAGAGCCTGGCCAGCTCCAGAGTCCACAGAAGCAATACTTCTCCTAAGAACCATGTCTGATCGCCCTAGTTCTGGTCTCAACTCTTTTTTTGTTTTGTTTTTAACATTAAGATCTAATTCCTTAGGGATTTTTATCCTAAACACCTCCTTCCATTTAAATATATGCTACATTTAACCAGGAATCTGAGATATATCAGCTATCAATAAACAACTAACCAGTTATATGAAAGATGAAGTGGAAGTCAGAGGTTCATTAAAGCATGATGACTGTCCTCATACTGAACTTTGGAAATAAGAAACTAGGGGATGTGTGAGCCTCTTTGTCCTAATGTAGAGCGTGCTTGGGATTAGTCAGGTCCTGCTTGAGGCGGAAGCCTGAGGTCCTTCTCTGCCAGACCTCTCCCAGCCCCCATCTTCACCAGCTGTTCACTTTTACCAACTAAAGCAAGCTGACACAACCAAATAAACCAGGACAGAAAGTGAGTGATTTGAGAAACCATCCCAGAAAGCTGTCAGATCAAGACTGCTTCTCTAAAGGGCTAAAGAAAAGAGAAAGCAGAAATGGAAGGAAGAGAGGAGGAGAAGATGGGGAGAGAGAAAGAGAAGCAGAGAAGGGAAGAGAGGGGAATCTTGGAGGACACAGAAATGACTTTTTAAAACCTGGACTTTGATAGTCATAACAGTCTGAATATGAAGCAGAGTATCAGAAACTTCCCAAAGAACTGGTCATAAGGTGAAATGGCTGGTAAGGCACTGGTTTTATAAATAACATTCAGCTCAGTAAGTTCTGTCTGATAAAAGGATCTGAATAATATACTGCATTAGTTTAGGGTGATTTGAGCCTTAGGTGATCATACTGGGTTCCCTCTGCTTTCTACCACTGCTGATGACATCACATTTAAGTAGAACCCCCTCTCTTCTTTTTTTTTACTGAGTGACACCCTCTGAAGAGGGAAGGCTCTAGCACCCCACCTTGACCATGCTGAGCCACATGTCTTTGTGGGCAGAGAACCCGTGGAGCATGAGGACGGAAGGTTTGTGGCTGGGCCTGCCGCGGAAGGAGTAGCAGAACTGATAGTCTTCGTGGCGCACATAGCGGACCTGCATGCCCAGCGTCCTCCGCCAGTACCTGGGGATGGAAAATACAGACTAAATCAGTCAGCGAGCGCCAGAGAAGCAGCTCTGGGAGGCGAACTCTGTACAGCTTTACTCTGAAGAGCGAGCAATGATTCTCCCAGCCCTTGTCCTCTACACAGTCACCCTTGAGGACCACTAAGTCAGGCCATTCCAGAAAGTACCTTACGTAAATATTCTGGTATAAATGTTCCTAAGCACGCTATCGGGAAGGGAAAACGGGACGTTTTCTTAAGAAGCAAGACACACAATAACCCTCTGTTAATACGTGTTTCTAGTAGTTTGAATCGCAGGGCAAAGAACGCTGTGGGACCTCACGGGTGTGTGCCTTGCTCAGTTGAGCTTCAGGAGAATTCAAAACAGCTGGTGGTAAGGCTGGGAAGGGCTCTGGAGAGGCCAAGACAAAGGTGGTTTCCCCCTGTGGAGAGCTGGCTGGCAGCTCCTGGTGGGCGATGTTCACTGACACCTGACATCTGGGCCGAGCAGCCGTGGACTCGCGGGCCTGAGTGCCGCAGGGTGCGGTGCAGCTGACCTGGAAGACCTTACCACAGAGGCACTGTAATTGGTAGGAAATGCATCAAAAGACTTAAAGGTAAAGTGTGCTCCCTCTTGTCACCTGCAACTTGCTATTTGTGGAGATGCGGAATCAGACTCTGTCATCAAGGCTGCCACTGCTGGTGGAGGCGTTACTCCACACCCAGACACCCCTGTGTGGGAAGAGACGACAACCGGAGACTGGCTGGCGGATGTCTCAGGACTCCACACACCTCACAGCCGTCGCCTTGAGTGGTTCCAGCGACTGCTTCTCTGTGAGAGACACATTCGCCTGTTTGTGATTCTATCTAAACAAGCTGGTTTCAACCAACAAAATCTCTGCATTTGAGTCTTAGCCTTATTTATTTATCTATTCTTGGAAATTCGTTTTCATTGGGACACAGGGGATGGGTTGTGAAACATCTCCGTGGGCCTGAACTGTCAGTGAAACATCCGTTCTAGTCTTCCTGGGACAGCTTTTAGGAAATGTCTCGTCCCTTGGAGCTGATGCTCTTGCTGGCAGCAGCCTCTTCAGGTCCACTGGTTACAGTTCCTCCCTGGAGGAGAATCTCCCCCTTTTTCTTGGGGACACTCTTGTTTCCTGACTCTTCAGGGTCACTAACTGATTCCTCTATCAGGAAAGATCTGTTCCTCTGGGAAGACTTCCACCACCAGCTGTCTCTTCAAGATCACCACTAACCAGCTCCTCCTTGGAAGAGGATATCTTTTTCTTGGGTTTGGAGAGAGATACAGATGACTCTTCCATTCTGTTCTCCTGATGGGGCTCCTGAAGCCTCCACTTTCTTCTTCTTCGGTCTTGCACGCATCTCCTGGCCCTCCTCCTGAGCACTGCTGCAGTTTTCCAAAGATGCAAGGGGAACTGCAACAACACTTTCTTTTTCTTCTTCAAGCATTTCTTCTCCTGTTTCTCCAGCTTCCTAGTAATCTCAGCGTCGGCTTCCTCTGCCTGAACAATTCTCTCTATCACAACATCCAGATTCCTGCAGGGCACCTTTTCAGTCTCACAGAAGGACAGCTGCTCCTCGACTTGCTCTTGAAGCTTCTCCACAAATACAGCTGAGGGCACCTCAGAGAAGCAATCAGTTTATAAGGTGATACAGCATTTGTTTGCCAGGTATTGGAGATGGGGCCTTTGCTTTTGATGGCTGCCTGGCCAATAAGTGTGGAGTGGAAGATGAGGACATATTTTGGGGTGTTATCCCTTGTCTTCAGGGCTTTGGAAACTTGGTCCCTTTCCTGGGTCCAGGGAAGCACTTACAGACCAGGAGTGGCCAAACAGGCTTCCTCGTATTTAAGTGATACTCTGGTTTCAAAGAAGCTGATTGTTCTCAAGAATTGGATTTTAATTGACAGAAAATCAAACCACAAAAAACAGTGTGGATTTTAATTGTGATGCAGAATATGGTGACACACATTTGATTTTGCAAAGACATTATTTCCACTATGGTACATAAACTCAATAAAAGTCACATGCCCTCCTCTGCCTTCCACTCCAAATATATTTTTCCTACAGACTTTGGCAGTGAGAACTTGTTTCTTGAGAATTATCTCATCTGTTCTCTGGTTTTACTCCTTACAACATATGGTTGAAAGCTCAGCTTCTGTTGGTTACATAAGACTTGGCAGTGCTGGAGTTTGGCCTGAAAATGATTTCAGTATGAAATTACCATCTAAACAAAGTGAACACTCTGCATGAAGAATCAAGATGCAAGATAATTAATTCAATCAGAGATTGACTTTGTGGTATACTTTGCACCAAAGAGGTAGCCAAGACATGCAATAGCAAATAGCCTAAGTGGATCAGCTTTAAACGCTTTGTATAAAATAAAGGGAGAGGGAGAGGAAGATATATATTTATATTTACTTGTACTTGCATACAAAAAAGCATGGGATCATATACAAGATGCTATTAAGATGAGTATCTGGACCGGAGGTATGAAATACTCTTGAGAACTAGGTAGGTGGAGAGGGAACAATGGTGGGAGGGAGACTTATCATGTTCTTTTTAGTGCTTTTTTAATGAATATATTGCCTACTCAAAACATTAAAGATACAATAAAATTGGCTAGCTTAACAGCTCTCTTTATGACAAAATATGCATATTTCAAAGTTCTAAGTCATGACATGGTAACATGAATTTGTTCACTCATTTATATCCCAGCTCATTCATTTTTTGGCTATATGACTGTGAAACTCAATTTCCTCATCTACAACATGGAAAAGTGTTGCATTTTACTGAGGATATGGTTAAGACTAAAAGAGATAATCCGGAAAAAAATTTTTTTTTTAAATGAGATAAGCCATTACAGTTTTGTTCAATGCCCAACACACAGGAAGTAGACAATAAAAGGCAGTTTCAGTATTATATAAAAAAGATTCTTCCCTTCAAATATATCATTTGCCAAAATTCAAGGGAAAAATGTGGAAAATTTTGTAACACATACGACAGCCATGTAAGTGGAATCATACAACATCTGTTCTTTGGTGACTGTATTATTTCACTTAGCATAATGCTTTCAAAGTTCATCTATTGTCTACAGTACATCAGAATTTTTTTCCTTTGTAATGTTGAGTAATATCCCACTGTACGTATATACCACATTGTGTTTATCATTCATCGGTTGATGGACATTTGAATTATTTCCATTCTGTTGGCAATTATGAATAACACTGCTATGTACATTGGTAAATAAGGATCTGTTTGAGTCCCTGCTTTCAATACTTTGATGTATATACCCCAAAGTAGAACAGCTGGATCATACAGTAATTCTGATGGTGCTCCCCCAGTGGCTCAGCGATGTAGGAGAATCTGCCTGCAAGCCAGGAGACGCAGGTTCGATCCCTGGGTTGGGAAGATCTCCTAGAGGAGGAAACAGCAACCGCCTCCAGTATTCTTGCCTGAGAAATCCCAAGGACAGAGGAGCCTGGCTGGCTGTAGTCCATGAGGTTGCAAACAACTGGACATGACTGAGTGAGTGCACACACACACAGAGTAATTCTGTGTTAAACTTTTTGAGGAACCTCTAAACTTTTGCATGGTAGTTATACCACTTTACATTTCTACCAGCAAAGCGCAAGGGTTCCAACTTCTCTACAAACTCACCGAAACTTGCTATTTTTCATTTTTTAAAAACACCTATCCTAATGTGTGTGTGATATATCACTGAGGTTTTGATTTGCATGTTCCCTATTAACAAGGATATTGAATATTCTTTTTTTTAAATAGAAATACAGTTTATATACCATAAAATTCACCCTTTTAAATGGTACAACTGATGTGTTTTTAGTGTTGATAAAGTTATACAACCATCACCACTAATCCTGGAACATTTCCATCAAAAAGAAACTCAACTACCTACTTAAAAAGCAGTTGAAATGGTAAATTTTGTATTGTGTATATTTTACCACAATAAAAAGAGAAATAAATCCATACCCATTATCATTCACTTCCCATTTCCCTCCCCTTGCACCTCCTGGCATCCACTAGTTCACTTCAAGTCTCTATGGATTCTACACATTTTCTATAAATGGGTCTATTCAATATGTGGCCTTTTGTGTCTGATGTATTTTACTTAACATGTGTTCAAGTTCATCCATTATAGAATGTATCAGTACTTCATTCCTTTTTTTTTTTCAGATTTCAAAAAGTGATTACAGGATTTTCTATTAAATGGTAGTAAGTGATACAGAATTCCATCATTTTCTGTTGACCCATCATGATACAATAGTGGTAAGCAAATAACAGTTACATATCCACAATAGTAAAAGATGCTCGGTTTTCACAATCAATAGCCAGACAAAAAATAAAAGATAATTACAGTTGCAAGCCATAATGGAAACATGATTAACCTAACTATATAAAATATTTACATACAATTTGGGGGGTTAAGTAGAGTTGATGTGTTAAGTAGAAGTGCATATGTACACAGGTTTTCACCTGCGCAGCCACTCTACATCTTTTGGTTGGTGCATTTAATGCGTTTACATATAAGCTTACTCCTTGGAAGGAAAGTTATGACCAACCTAGACAGCATATTAAAAAGCAGAGACANGCTTTTCTGGAAAGTTTTTGATTTCTCAACAGAAACTCTACAAGCCAGAAGGGAATCATGTGATATATTTAAAGTGATCAAAGGGAAGAATATACAACCACGAATATTCTACCCAACAAGACTCTCATTCATATTTGATGGAGAAATCAAAAGTGTTTCATTCCTTTTTAAGGCTAAATAATATTCCATTGTATGGATAGATCACATTTGTTTATCCATTCATCTGTTGATGAACGTGTGAGTTGTTTCTACCTCTCAGCTCTTAGGGATAATGCTGCTATGAACATACATATACCACTTTTCCTGTGGATATATGTTTTCTATTCTCTTGGGTGTTCTCAATTCACCTAAGAGTAGAATTTTTGGGTTATATAGCAGCTTTTTTTTTTTTTTTTAACCTTTTTTAAGCTTTTGAGGAATTCCCAGATTATATTCCAAAATGCCTGCATCATTTCACATTCCCACTAGCAAAATACGAGGGACCCAATTTCTCCATATCCTTCACTGTTGTTTTTTAGAGTAACTTTCCATGGAAGTATAAAGAATACAGAAAGGCACACATATCAGAAGCATACAGCCTGATGAATCTGCACAAAGTGAATGAGCCCACCATCTGCCACCCAGGTCAGGGTCGAGACTATGAGTAGCATCACAGATGTTTTACCTCCTACAGGTGACCACTAGCTCACCTTCAAACAGGAGGGTTTTACATGCTGTAGGACTTTATCATATAGTAAGTTCTTATTTGTATTTGACTACTTCCACTTGATATTATGTTTGTAAGGATCATTCATGTTGTAAAATATAGCACTATTTCTTTTCCTTAGGGTAAATGGTATCAGTAAAAGACTTTAAATGTTCTATTTGTCTGTTGCTATGAAATAAGAATAAAACTGATTTTTAATACATCGCCGTGTTGACTAATGTAAGGTTTCAGACTTTCTTTATCTCAAGCCAAGATTCCTGAACTATCTTTATTTACTTTTAAATTTATTTATTTTTAATTCTACTGTGTAGCATGTGGAATTTTAATTCCTGGACTAGGGATCGAACCCATGTCCTCTGCAGTGAAAGCACAGAGTCTTAACCACTGGACTGCCAGGGAAGTCCCTGTTAACTTATCTTGTATTTAGCAATCTTCCAAATTTACTTTTTAATTCTAATAAATAATCTACACATATCATTATTATTATCTCAGACTTTCTGTGTACACAATCAAACCATCTGAAACATCAGTTTCTTTTCTTCTAATTCTTATCCACTTCTTTCTTATGTGTATGATTTGTTGATTGCACAACTGAGTTTCTTTGGGAAAACGAACATCTTTTAAAATGTCAGTTTTGTTCACCCCGTGAACAGTGTTGACAGTTTATACAATGAAAGCCAGAGTGGCCCCTGCCGTCACCCACAGTGGCGACGGCATCCTCAGCAGGGCTCTCTGCGGACTCTCTCGGCCAAGCACGTGGCGCCTGCTGCAGGAGCAAGCAGTCCCCATCACCGTGGGACTGCGCCGGCCACGCTCCAGGGACACTTAGACCCAGAGAGAGCTGTTGCCAAGACCGGCTGTGGCCCTCGGGGGACAGAGGGAACTGAGAGGCCGCCCTCACGCCCGCATGCTCACCCGGCAGGGAAGGCCAGGGTCTTTGGGATGCCCAGCTACACTCCAGGGACACTTAGACCCAGAGAGAGCTGTCGCCAAGACCGGCTGTGGCCGTCGGGGGACAGAGGGAACTGAGAGGCCACCCTCACGCCCGCATGCTCACCCGGCAGGGAGGGCTGGGGTCTTTGGGATGCCCGGCTACCTCTGCCCACTCCTCTGGTGGCTCAGCGGTAAAGAATCCACCTGCAGGGAAGGAGCCACAGGAGACGCGGGTCTGATCCCTGGGTGGGGAGGATCCCCGGGAGGAGGGCATGGCAGCCCACTCCAGAATTCTTGCCTGGAGAATCCCATGCACAGAGGAGCCTGGCGGGCTCCAGTCCCGGGGGTCGCAGAGACCCGGACGCGGCTGAGCGACTGAGCAGAAGCAACAGCAGTTACCTGCGCCGCCTGCTGCTCTGCTCAGGTCGTGATCCTGAGAACTAACTTCACTGAGCCGGGTCTGCAGGGGGACCCACACGCGGTCGTCACGGGCAGCGGAGTGCTGAAGGCCTTTGGAGGAGTAGCTGAGGTTGACGGACGTAAAGCTGCTCATCCTATGACAGCCACTGTGTCAGCGTCACTCACGGTGAGGTGACTTGAAGGAAACAGGCTGTGCATCTCGGTGGGCTGGGTGGGGAGAGCCGCCCACAGGAATTTGGGCAGCTCTCTGCAGTGGTGTCACAGGTTCTAATACGATAATCACAGCCCCATGCCACAACACTACCGGCATAATCCACAAGGATTTCCAGGATTTTCATTCTCCACAGCCAACCCGGGTTTCTTCTTGGCCTGTGCGGCCGAGTTCATGAAATAAAGAGCATTGTGTTCATCCTCCAGCTACAGCTCTGACTGGAGTGACAGGCCAGGGCAGGCTTTACAGTCACATGCATCTGTGGGGTCAAATAAAGGGCTGAGTGTTCTCTGTGGGGCCTCTCTGAATTTCGGTGGTATTACTTGTTAATAGAATCTGCCTGCAATGCAGGAGACCTGGGTTTGATCCCTGGGTTGGGAAGATCCCCTGGAGAAGGGAAAGGCTACCCACTCCAGTATTCTGGCCTGGAGAATTTCATTGACTGTATAGTGCATGGGGTCGCAAAGAGTCGATCATGACTGAGTGACTTTCACTTCACTGAACTTCACTTGTTAATAAAAGTGAATTCTATGTGATGAGGCATTCTTCATAATAGCCAAAAAATGGAAACAACACAAATGTCCATTTGGATGAATCACATGTGGTATAAACCATACCATGGACCACTATTCAATCATCACAATGAATGAAGTACAGATACACGTTGCAGCACAGGTGAGCCTTGAAAAGTGCGAGAAGCCAGACACAAAAATGTCACCAACAGGAAAATCCAAAGGACAGATTACTAGTTTCCAGGGGATGAAGAGAGGAAACAGGGAGTACCTGTTAATAGGCATGGGGGTTCTTTTGAGGGGAGATGAGAATGTTCTCAATTAGATGGTGGCAATTCACAATACTGTGAATATATTAAAACCAATTAAATGCATGCTTTAAAATGGTGAACCACACGAGTTTTAGTGAACTCCAAACCACATGAGTTTTAACTCAAAAAAGTCAGTTATTTGCAATGACATTAATTTTCTCTTGAAAGATCAAGCATCAAAAGTATTCTAACAATCTGAAAGCTTTCTCCATGATGGCCTGAGGAACTTGGGGGTGGGGGACTGTGCAGCACAGAGGCTGGTTTCCACGTGTGGTTGGTAGAAACAGCCTTTGGGTGGAATAATCACACCTCTGTTTGCAGCCACATCCACGGTTAGGGGACACATCGTGAAGCTGCGCCCTCTGCTTCGCTTTGATTTGAGAAACATGGAATCTGTGTGTGTAGGTCCACGGTGGCTCTGCAGGGCTGAGGGGGGCACTCCACTCTGGTCTCCCCACGTCACGGGTCCCACAGGCACCGTGACCCCACGGTACTCCTGCCGTGCTGGAGTGCTGCAAGGGCAATGGCCTCTAAGCAGCCAGAGTCTCAGCTTCATCAACGCAGAGGTGGGTCTTGGGTGACCCACTAAAGGAGTCATCGCCTCCTCACAAGAGAGAATGCAAGATGAAAGCTCCCTTCTGTTCAATTAGCTTCTTTTCAAGGATCAGAGCCTGGCTGGCAGGCGGAAAATTCCACACTCTAATGAAACAAAAGGGAGCCAGGAGGGAGTGCGGATAAAGGGCACAAGCACAGTTTCCCTGCATTCTTCCTTGGGGGCTCAGAAGGCAGTCCTATGTTCCAGAAGTCCTGGTTAAATCTCAATGCGCTTCCCTATGGCACAGAGAGGAACCAGGTCGATTTCAGTACTTCCGTCATCATGGGATGAATTTATGGGCATGTGAGGAGTGATTTTCTCTGGTAAATGGACTGTGGCATGAAAAGTTACCGAAACACATCATGAAACAGGCTCTCTCTTTTCAACCATAAACCTGCTTTCATCAAAGGAGAAAAGCTCTGCAACCCTCACACCTCTCAGCTTTTGTAACAAAGAGAAAGGAGTCAGTCCTTGGCAGGCAATGGCATCTAGGTGAGAATTCATGAACAGAGTGTAAAGCATTGTGCTCCTTTTTACTTTTTATATTAATTGTTTGTGGCAAGGATGGCAAGCTTTCCACTAAAGGTGGTGATATTTATGTCACTCAGAAATTAATGTAAAAATTTTTTTAAAAAGCCATTTACTCTAAAGAAAACAAAAGAAAACTAGAGGTGGTGTGCAAACAGGGCAAGAAGCATAAAAATGATTTAAGAATAACAGAAATTTTGGAAACTTTTTTTCCTGTCATTTTACTAACAAACACTTTTAGACAAATCAAAAAACATTGTGTCCTACCCATGCCATGTCCATGATTCTGGTGTTTCTAACTCATTTTTCAGTGATTATCACTGTACCTGTCAAAACATCACTGGATCAGAATCCAGTGACCAAGAATAACCAAATGCATTCCTATGAATGCACACAGAATCAGTGACTTTGGGGGAGAGAGTGGTCTCCTGAGCAAAGACACCATTGGGAACCTGGAAGAATTTACCTGGTGAGAAGCTACCAGTACCAATTCTTCAGGAACATTCCCAACATTCCAAAAAGAACACCTTTCAACTTCTCTGTAAGATTAAAATGAGTGCTCAGTCACTCAGTCATGTCCAACTCTGTGACCCCATAGATTATAGCCCGTCAGGCTCCTCTGTCCATGGGATTTTCCAGGCAAGAATACTGGAGTAGGTTGCCATTTTCTCCTCCAGGGGATCTTTCCAACCCAGGGATCAAACCCATGTCTCTTAGGTCTCCTGCATTGGCAGGGAGGATCCTTACAACTAGCACCACCTGGGAAGCCCCCACGTCCGGAATATTTCATGATAAATATCAAACAGCCACAACCAAAAAGCAAAGAAAGCAGCATAATCATGATACCCTTGAAAATTTTGAACTGTAAAATGAACTTACCAGTAATAGATTCTTATCAGGGCTGAAGGCCACAGGAGAAATGAGGCTACAAATGCCAGGATCGGAAGGGCCAGCGTCCCGCCCGCGATCACAAACATGTTAACCACGTCAAGATCCATCCTGCTCTTTAGGTCTGGCTTATACCTAGAGGGGCTGAAAAGAGAGACAGTACTGAAACTCTTTCTCATGAGACAAGGTGAAGAAGCAAAGTGGAAGTGAGAAGTGAACGACCCAGAATGAAGAGAAGGATCAGGAGGAAAAAAGTGTAGGTAATAAGGAATCCTTGAGATGATCCTGGATTTTTTTTTTTTTTAAGCTATAAAGGAAATCTTAAGAACAATTGGGGAAATTTGAGTAAGGGCTGGTTATTAGACAATATTATTAGACCAGTGATGCAGTGATGAAGTTGTGGTTATGTTTATATGTAAGAAAACATCCTTGTTCATAGCATTTGCTGAAGTAAATATTAAGGGATAAAATATAATAATATCTGATACTCACTTTTAAAAGTTGAGGAAGGAAAAATGTATATATGTGTTTGTGCATATGTGTGTGTGTGTGTGTGTGTGTATAGAGAAGGGAGAAATAAGGATGGTGAAATGTACTGGTGAACCCAACTGTAACCTTCAACTTTCCTATTAGGTTTGTGATTTTGAAAAACTAAAAGTTAGAGAAGAACAGAAGACCTGAAACACAGATAAAGACAGACAGAAAGAAAAACAACACATGTGCAGAGGAATGCTTATCTATATAGAGAACATCACTGGAAGGTGTCCACGGAACCAGTAATAGCAGTTGCATCTGAGGTGGGGAATCAGGAAGCTGGGAGTCAGGGATAGAGGGAAACTCGCTTTTCACAGTCTACCTTTTAAAATCTTTTGGTTATTTATCATGTACACGTATTAAGTGAAGTGTCAGTTGCTCAGTTGCGCCTGACTCTTTGTGACCCCATGGACTGTGCCCACCGAGCTCCTCCGTCCATGGGATTCTTCAGGCAAGATTACTGGAGTGGGGTGTCAATACTTTCTCCGGGGGATCTTCCCGACCCAGAGATCAAACCTGGGTCTCCTGCATTGCATGCAGATTCTTTACCATCTGAGCCACCAGGGGAGCCCTATTCATACCTGGCCTATTCAAAAATAAGTAATACACAATAAAAATTTAGGAGGGAACACGTCAGAACATCCAAGCTTGCAGTGCACTTTCTGCACTTTCTGATGTCCTCCCAAAGACGTGGAGGACACATGTGCAGGCTAGAATGGGAGCCCCAGGAGGGCAGGGACCGTATCCCCAGCACCCACACTGGGGCCTGACCCATTTTCAAGGGCTCTAGAAGTCACCTCTCAATTAGAGGTCCCCACCCAGTTCTGTCTCATGAACAACATGGTTTATTTTCCATAGAATTAAAAAAATATTTCAAGTTCCATCATCCTCCCCAGTAGAGAAGATAACTCCTGCTAGGATCTGTTGGTCAGGTGTGGCCGTTTGTCACCTGCGGACTCAGTCACTTGTGTTAAGTGTGCATCTCACTAACATAAAAAGGACTCTTCTTCAAGAAAAAGCATACATCTAACAAATCATGGTCTTCTTTATATTTCCTGTGAAACAGAGAGCTCTGCCCCATACACCTCTATCAGCTGATGTGTACTTCAATTGTATAATGATTTCATGATGGCACGTATGACCTCACGACCACTGAGCGTGGGGGTCAGCCAACTTCTTCCGTAAAGGGCAGATGATATATAGTTCAGAGATGTGGGTCATAGGTCTCTGTCATAATTACTCAAGCTGCCTCTGCAGTCAGACAGAGGCCATACAATATGAAGTGAATGGGTGTGACCATATCCCAGTAAGATTTTATTGTGAAAAACAGGCTTCAGGTTGTAATTTACTAACCTTTGGCACAGTATACCAACCCCAACAAACAGGCGTGGTAAGAGCTTTATCCACTATTAATAGGCTGAGACAACAAAGGCACAGAAAGGTTGAGTAACAGATTTCTGACTTGGACCCACTCTCTTTGCTCCTAATTCCACATTCTCTCTTTTTTTCTTTTCAAATGGCCTTTCCTCAGATTTTGTAACATCTTTGCTGTTAAATAACCACATTCATCGCCCCAAATTTCTTCATGAAGATATGATGTCTCCATTTAGATGTTTGGTCTCTTATGAGAGGCTTGGTGGAACAAGCTCCTTAGTCTAGAGGACTAAGGCATCTGTAGATGGTCCTTTCAATTCCATACACACTCTATCTGGGGACAGTCCTGAGTCTACAGTGATGAAAGTTGCTGCCTTCTCAGGGGCATGAGCACTGTCTGTGTTTCTGATTCAACTCTTCCCTCAGTTTCTCAGTCACTGTAAACAGCTTTTATCTAGCCCACTTATATCACTCACTGGCCTATTTCTCCTCCTAGAGCCAGACCTCCTTCAGGATAGGAATAATGCTATATGTGTGTTCTCAGGGCCTAGAATAGCACAGGATACAAATAAGTTACAAATGAATTAATAAAAGTCAAAGTTACAAAATGGGTTCAATCCTGTTTGTTTTAGGGACAGCCATCCCCAATGATGTTGACTATTTTCTCTTTCAATAATTATAAAACTCCCAAGAGGAGTCACCTATTTAATGTTGGTTACAGTTTATGATGCTAAAAAGGCCTCACTGTCAAGGGGTAAGCAAATTCACAGCAGAGTGAAGGGAATTTTACAGATCTGTTTGAAGACTGTGGGTCACAAAAGAGTTGAAGAAGATGGGGGCTATCAGATTCAAGAGGACTTGTCTTCATCACATAAAGAGTGCTGAGGGTCACCATGAATTCTGAGTCCTGAGCCGCAGGAAGTTAATTACATGATGTTTTTTTAGTCTAGGAATTAGGACATTTTATGCCCAAAGCTATATTATGTCACCGACTCTGACACTGGAGATGGGAGGTTCAACTTGAAGATATGATCATCAAAAAGAAACCTCATTAAAAAAAAAAACCTCATGGCTTCATCAGTGCCTGCTATGGACATCACAGTCAGTTTGGGGGAAGGTACTATCTGGCTCCATTCTTCATTCAATGGCAGAATAAACTCTTTGCTAAGGAGATTTTGAAGAGCAGCATCAATTTAGCAAGCCTTGGACTTGTTACAGAGACTCCTGCACACTTTCCCTGATGAGGTCAAACACAGACAGGCCTTGGGTGAAGGCACTAATGTTTTCTGAGGTGTCTAGACAGGTCTGGCCATTATTCCTACCTCTATGACAGCCTTCATCTGGCAAAGGACTTGTCTTTAAAAAGGCAGTTGCCTACTCTGCTGGGGTTTGTTCACAGGATGCTCTATGTGCCCAAGGGGGAAGCTGGGCACAGAAAAACTGAAGCCTTATGAGCCTGGAATCACCAATGACTGAACATCAACTAAGGGGTAGAACATGGGGCATCCCTAAGCACAGGGCCCACACAACAGACGTTTTCAAGATGACTTCAGGGAGCAGAACGCTCAGGGCTATCTGACACCAGGTGACACTCCCATACAACCTGAGAAAGTCATCTCTTTTTTCAGTTCTTTTCCCACCTTGCTTAGGTCAAAGAGAAACTCTGAGGGTGGTTATTAAATAGCTAGCTAACTCCTGAGCCTCCTGCAGGGAACAGTATCTAGCTATTTAATAACACTGTTACTTTGTGTTGATTTTTATGGATATTTTCAATTTATGGTAGTGATGCAAATTAATTTAAAAGGAGGAACTTTTAAAGAAAAATTAGTTAGTATTTAAAAAAGTTAGTATTTAAAGTTAGTATTTAAAGAAAAATACTAACTAGGTGATACATGGATCTGGTGAACATCTTGGTGGTAACACACGAATGGCTGCCAGGGTAGATGTAGTGATGGACTGGCCCCGGGCTAGGGGTGGGGTGCTCTGGCTGACCCTTCCTCACACTGACTGTGAGGCCTTGGTTTCCTCATCTATTAATGAGAACATTCATCCAAAACACCTTTTCTGTCTTTTCCTACTCTGGTGACTTAAAACACTTCTGAAATTATGCCAGATAACTGAAGAGTAGGATCTGGCTTGCCCATCAGGAGAATCTTATTTCCTGTTACATTCTCCCTGGAACCTAAAACAGTATCTGGGAAATATTAATACTTGGTGCTTGGTAATGTTTGAGTATTTGATAACACTTGAATAGATTGAAAAAGAAAAATGCACTCGCTTTACATATCTGGTGCATCAGGTGAGGATCCCAACACTTGAAGACAGTGATTTTAGCAGCTCTGAAGCAGTCTGAAACAAGGGACCTCGGGAAGGAGAGCTCGCCTTTATGGCATGAGGCAGGGTAACACACTCTCACCCAGAGACCTGAGCCTGCCATGTGCCCTTCCCCTGGTATCACCTAAGCTGTGCATTTGAGGCCTTTATCTCTGAATGCAGGGACAAAGATTAATCAGACTCAGATAAACATCTGGACTCAAGTTCCCAAGTTTAGTCTGGGGTGAGAGGTTAGGCATAACGTGTCACAGTTGTCTTTTAACGTACTCACTGACCTTTAAAACCCGTCTGAGTTCTGACACGTTAAATCTTAAGATATAAAGCAAAATTCCAAACACAGAATATAAAACACTTTCACAGAATCTTGACCTCTCCTAGACATCTACTCATAGTCCATCAGATTTGACAAACTAACGTCCTGGTCTCTCAAAATAAGGATTATTTTTTAAAAACTATAGCAAAAATACTTTGGCCACCAGATGCAAAGCACTGACTCATTGGAAAAGACCCTGATGCTGGGAAAGATTGAAGGCAGGAAGAGAAGGGGACAAAAGAAGATGACATGGTTGGATGGCATCACCGACTCAATGGACATGAGTTTGAGCAAGCTCTGGGAGTTGGTGATGGACAGGGAAGCCTGGCATGCTGCAGTCCATGGGGTCGCAAAGAGTTGGAACATGACTGAGTGATTGAACAACAAAATAGCAAAAATAATGATCATGGTCACTACCACCATAGCCAATGACAGATAAGCAACAGCCTCCAAGTACTAAATGACTATCTCATGCCAGGTTCTGTGTAGATGGTTTATATACATCCTCTCATTTTATCCCCCACAATGCTGAGAGTAGGAAGCACTTCTCCCACCTTCAAGATGGAGGAATAAAGATTAAAGAAGTTAA